GTTATCGTAGCTCGAGTTTTATAACATTTTTTACACGATCTTTCTTCGGCCATTGTTTGTTATTTATAAAAGACGACCAAGGACTTCTGGTTAACAATATGAGAGACGCAGTAACACTATAAAAGTCCCTAAAGCATAAAAAAACGATTGGCAGCCATAAAATTAATTCATGAAAAATAAATTACTTATTTATTTCCAAGTTCATATAATTCGCAAGAGAATCTGTAAATATTATAAATGACGTGCAATTTTTATTTGTACCTCATTGCGTAGCAGGATCAACAAGATACTTCCTAACGGCTCAACCGTAAGCCTGAAGGCTTATCAAGGCTAAAAATTGAGTTTCGATACTTGCGGTGGGATGAGCATAAAATCAATAAGACAGCAAACTATTATTGCTGCTGCCATCTATTGACATTTTATAAAACTACTTCATAGGTAGTCGGATGTACAACTATACGTTTTTCAGTAGCTACCATTAAATGCAATTGATTAAACAAAATCAAAAGTACCCACATCTCCCCACTCAAAGATCAAATAAAATATTCATAGTGAGTTAATATCGTCTTCTAGAACAATACTATAAATAATACATGGTGTTTTCTTGATATTATTATTGTTATGAAACAGTTAAATTTTCGAAAAAACGACATCATATTTTAAACGGCACCTTTGATCCACCATTTGGGGCCAGCCAATAGGAAAGCTGCAAAAAATTAATTCTCGTGTAAGTCTGTGGATTCAGTCCTGAGACACCCTTACCCTCCAAAAAAATCTTTGACCCCATATGGAGCTCCAATATTAAAATTTTTTGAATGGATCTAATTTTTAATCAAATCGGTTCGTTCAGAACCAAGAACTCCCAAAACTGCCTTTAGCCTCCTCTTTTTCTTTTTTTTTCTTCTTAGTTTACCTTTGTTTATATTACGTGAGAGTGAAAAGAGCTTACATGCTGGGATTGATCTTTGAATTTTAGCGTTACAAGTCCTCAAGCTTACTGCTCTTCATATCTTTCGCACTCTCAAAATCCAAAGAAAAAACATACAAAGTTATATCTAATTTTTAAAATAACTTTGTTCTAGTTTTTGGATATTATGCATAACACTTCTTATTTGTGCGAGTATATTTTCCTGCTCTTCGATATCACGAAATTATTGCTTTCAATTTTCAGATATCGTGACACGGCGGAGAATAATTGGATATACCATCTTTATATTTTAAACTACTGATCAAAACTGACCAATCACAATATAGAAATGATCCTGCTGCACGCGTTCCTATTAGAACACAGCTTTGACTTCGCATGTGTTAAAGCGTTGACAGTGTAAAGTGCATACAGAAACAAATGTGTAAAAACTGAAACACTTCAAAGCACTGAAAGGTAGTGGTACCGAAAACGAAAGACGCTGCCGATACAGTTTTCAAATAACCTTCTCAGTCCTCCTCAATCTAGCCATATGACCACTTGTCATCACGTTCTCAATCTAACCATATGGCCACGTGTCATCACGTTCTGAATCTTTCTCAATCTAACCACATGGCCATATGTAATCAGAACATCAAAAAGGGATATCAGATTTATCAGGGATACCATTTACGTCAATAAAAATACTGTTGTTATACCAGATATAACAAAGAAGAAACATTTTCCTCCCATTAGCACTATTAGATAAAAATTTCGCTAGTTATTTTGTTGTTGTTATCATGTACAAAGCTGTACAAAGAACTATATATGTGGTCTGCCCACCACGGGTATCGAAACGAGTTTCTAGCAGTATAAGTCCACAGACACACCGCTGCGCTACTGGGGATCTTAGGGTTAAATAGTAACTTCTAAATCTTCTCATCTTCCGCATGAGCCATGTTTACTCTTTGTCAAGCTTCATATGTTCATATTATACCGACCTCTAGTGGCACAGCAGTATGTCTGCGTACTTACAACCCTAAAAACCGGGTTTCGATACACGTCATTCTCTAGTGGCACAGCAGTATGTCTGCGTACTTCCAGATACACAGATGGTCCATTGTGTAGCTTGGTATTTAACTTCAACCAAACAAATATACTCTACCAATAAAAAAAAATGAAGAGAGAGAGAAAAAATATTAATTACTGACTTTGTTTTTTAATACCGTCCTCAACAAATGGGGGGAGGTCTTCCTTGTATTGTATTGACTAATTCAACCCCAGCCTCTGCTACTATACTACCTGTAAAGAACTGATCAAAACAGGAGTCATTCTTTTCATATGCAATAGTACACAGCAAACCCTCAACAAGAACTAACGGATTTAAACAGTGATATTTCTGTTCACGTTCTTATTCAAACTCGTACACCCACCCACAAGCAACTTGTGCTTAGAATTGTGTTTGTTTGTAATTAAGCACAAAGCTACACAATGGGCTATCTGTGCTCTGCCCACCACGGGTATCGAAACCCGGATTCGAGCGTTGTAAGTCCGCAGACATACCGCTGTGCCACTGGGGGGGGGGGGGCTTGTGCTTAGAAAAATGTGTTCTTAAAAGTCAACGGTATCCATTGTCCCCTCGTTGGACAGCGGTAAGCCTACTATGACTTATAACGCTAAAATCCAGGGTTCGATTCCCCGCGGTAGAGACAGAAAATAGCCCAATGTGGCTTTGCTCTAAAACGAATAAAAAAAACGTGGATTGTCCCTCGGTTGGACAGCGGTTAGTCCATGACTTACAACGCTAAAATCCAGGGTTCGTTTCTCCGCGGTGGGCACAGAAGATAGCCCAATGTGGCTCTGCTATGAAAAAAACAAAAAACAAACGCAGATGAGGCTCATCCAAACACGAGACGACAAATCACGAGAACTCATGTTTTAAATTGCTATTACTACGTGTTCTATGATTCTACGTGCGGTGAATTGGTTAATATATTAAACCTTAGTTTATAAAACTAGTTGATACGATTTTCAGTTATAAAAACAGCCACAAACAAATACAGCTACAGCGTGATAACAATAACACTGGAAACAGAAAGAAACGATTGGAAGAGCTGCCTGGGAAAATAAGCATGTGTCTAGCGTAGCCTAGTGGTTAGCGTGCCCTGGCTGTGAATCAGAAGATTCAGGATTCGCGCCCCATCAACGCAAAAATTCCTTCCGCAAAGCAATGCAAACGTCGACCAAATCTCATTATTCGGGTCACACCAGAGTAGCCCAAGGTTCAAATCTCATTATTCGGGTCACACCAAGAGTAGCTCAAGACCCAAAATCTCATTATTCGGGTCACACCAGAGTAGCCCAAGAACCAAATCTCATTATTTGGGTCACACCAGAGTAGCCCAAGAACCAAATCTCATTATTCGGATCACACCAGAGTAGCCCAAGAACCAAATCTCATTATTTGGGTCACACCAAGTAGCCCAAGAACCAAATCTCATTATTCGGGTCACACCAGAGTAGCCCAAAAACCAAATCTCATTATTCGGGTCACACCAGAGTAGCCCAAGAACCAAATCTCATTATTCGGGTCACACCAGAGTAGTCCAAAAACCAAATC